CAGAACTTTCAGTATAATGTATTGTTGAGATTTGTAGTCCTCTTTTGGGCTATTATATGGGTCCATGGTGTGCCGGCGACACGTGCTTTCTTCTATGTTGACACCAGTTAACTAGCTGGTCTTTGCTACAGCACCCCCATACTCCAGGCTTTAACTAGGAAGGAGTATGATGGGCACATATCTACCTATGGAAACTGTCCTGCCACTGCATGAAGAGACCCTGGATTTAGTTCTCTTTTGGGTCGCAGGACATTTACTGATGGCCTCCTGTGACCCAAAGTCACCACATAGTGGGCTATTGGCTGCTATATGCCGACAGCGCCGAGCCGCTCTGTAAGCTGTAGCTGGGAAAGATCCCGAGAATGTCAAGATCCACCCCGCTGGCTGATTGACAGCTAGATCCTGGGAGCCAGCTGTGCCCGCCCCCTCCCCTGTCTGTCCCTCCAATGAGCGCTGGAGGAACAGAGTGGGGGGAATCCCTGCGGGGAGAGGGGAATCCCTGCGGGCAGAGGGGAAGGGGCAATCCCTGCGGGGAGAGGGGAAGGGGGAGTCCCTGCCGGGAGAGGGGAAGGGGGAGTCCCTGCGGGGAGAAGGAAATGGGGAGCCCCTGCGGGGGAATCCCTGCGGGGAGAGGGAGAATCCCTGCGGGGAGAGGGGAAGTCCCTTTGGGGAGAGGGGAAGGGGGAATCCCTGCGGGGAGAGGGAGAATCCCTGCGGGGAGAGGGAGATTCCCTGCGGGGAGAGGGGAAGTCCCTTTGGGGAGAGGGGAATGCCTGCGGAGAGAGGGGAAGGGGGAATGCCTGCGGGGAGAGGGGAATCCCTGCGGGGAGAGGGGGAATGCCTGCGGGGAGAGGGGGAATGCCTGCGGGGAGAGGGGAAGTCCCTTTGGGGAGAGGGGAAGTCCCTTTGGGGAGAGGGGAATGCCTGCGGGAGCACTAGCTGATGCTAAAAACCTGCAAAGCAATATTCAGACTGGGAGAGAATGGAGGCAAATCATTATTTACTTCCCCCCCCCATTTGTGTACCAGTGGAGAGATTTCCTTTCCTTCCTGTTCTGTGGACGAAACAGGAAGTAAGAGCAAATCTGTTCAAGTGAAGGAATTTCCTCTTAGACAGTTGTCACCGGAACCAAAGTCCTCACCGGAAGATTTCCCTCTATTTCTGTCCTGGTGACAACTTTTGATCCAATGAAGAGAGAGAATCTCCCCAGCAGGGACCAATCTGCGTTGCTTCGACTGCTATGGAAAAGTAATTGGTCGGAACTTCCTATAGTGTCTGGCAGGGGTGTCTGGACTGGGAACATGGCTGAGCACAATTACAAATTCTTCTGCACCTAAGACGCCCAAAACCTTTAAACCCCACACTTAGCTTTCTGACTAAACCCCAGATCTGAAGTAGGGTTGGCGTCAGGGTTCTGCAGAGGCCACTCCAGTTCAACACCAAACCCATCAATCTATGTCTCTATGGATCTGGCTTTGTGCGCAGAGGCCTGGGCTGCATAAGAAATCATGGGGCCCCATACAGCCCCTCCCCAGGATTAAGCGGCATCTGCAGCTGGTTGGGGAGGAGGGGGACGGACTCTCACTCTCACCAGTACTGGCCGTGGCACGGTGTACATCAGGGGTGGGCAACTCCGGCCCTCCAGCTGTGCTTTAATCCCAACACGTCTCTGGGAGTCATGACTATAACTATCAGTCTTGCAATGCCTCATGGGACTTGTAGTTCCACAAGAGCTGCAGGGCTGGGGTTGCCCACCCCGGTGTGGACACTTAACACCTTTGTTGGTGGGCTGGCATGATGCTGGCCAAGGAGGGGATATACCGGAAATAATATGGGGGAATGATGTCAGGGGTAAGCAGGGGCCTAGCATTGGCTGCAACAACAGGGAGGCAGCTGGACCCAGACCTCACTTTTAACCCAATGGGGCCCGGTATGGGAGTACTGTCTGTACCCCTCAATCGGCGGCCATGACAGGGTCATGCTGGAACAAAAACAGGCCGTCCACAAAGTTGAGTACAATTGTCTAACATGTCTTTGTATGCATTGCTTGTACCCTTCACTGGAGATACCTGAGCTCAATCATTGGGGGGTGGGGGGGGGAGGGGAGAAGTGTCTATGTACACATGGCCATATAGTGTACGGATATGTGCAGGTAGCAAGACCATGCATACAAGCCCTCATAGGTCTGCATCCCCTCCACAATGCTTCAGTACACATACACAGTATATTGTCACAGTGTCCCACCTTATACCCGAGCCTTGCCGCCCTCTGTAGCAGCGTCTCCCCGGCGTTCTTATTCACAATCAGCTTCCTGGCTTCTGGCGGTATGTGCTGACCGCTGGGAGTGCCGCAGGAGCCCAGGGCGCCGCCACGCCGAGACCTGTGCGGGGTCCCGGGTTCGCTGCCCTTCCGCGGAGATTTCCCAAGCGAGGATTTGGGGGACTGCAAGCCCCGACGTCCCTTCCCCTGTTAGAATGAGAAACATGTCAATCAGATGAAAGGTGGTTCCCAAAATGGCAACATGACAGAAATCTCCGGAGTCTGACTTTTTCCGTCTTCTAATCTTTATGAATAAAGAAAAAAATGGGGAAATATTGAAAACGGTTATTGGGATTTTATTTCTTCAATTGTATGCGTCCCATTTTCTACCTGCGGTCAGCCCACTGTAACATATCAGCTCCAGCAAGCCTGCCGGGGAAGGTCGGTGTGGCTGAATCCGATGGGCCCTCCAACTATTAATTACACATAAACCTGAAGCTGAATCTGCTTCTATTTTGCCTTCCCCGGTTCCGCCCTCCGCAATGCTAATTATGTTTAAATAAAACCCTTTTTTCCCCCATTCAATATTTTGTTCCTCTTTGCCAGGTGTCGGCATGATCTGCCTGCATTGCATAGAGCAGGAGCAGCTAACCTTGTACTCCAGCTGTTGTGGAACTACAAGTCCTGTGAGGCATTGCAAGACTGACAGCCACAGGCATGGCTAGTTTTGCCACAGCTGGATTGCGAGGTTAGCTACCCCTGTGCTATGCAATGCAGGTGTTCTATCAAAGTTTGTGACTGCGTTAGAATGTGTGACTGGTCACACATTTTAACATAATCCCGCCCAGTTTTTCATCGGTGGAATATGTGACCGGCAAAGGGTAAAGAATTCCAACTCTTTCTCAGCTGTTTCAGGGCAGATCGGCATCGCAGATGGTATGTGGGGGAGAACTGATCTGCCCTGGAACAGCTGATCTGTCCTGAAATGTCACTTTGCGAGTGCGATCTCGCATTCCACAAAGTCCGATAGAAGTGACATTTGAGGACCGATCAGCTGTTCCAGGGCAGATCGGTTCTCCCGCACATACCATCTGCGATGCCGATCTGCCCTGGAACAGCTGAGAAAGAGTTGGAGTTCTTCACCTTTTGCTGGTCACACATTCCACTGCCGAAAAACTGGGCGTGATTACGTTAAAATGTGTGACCACGTCACCGGTCAAACATTCCAACCCAGTCACAATCTTTGATAGAACACAGGCAGATCATGGCTGGTGGGAGGAGTCAGCATGATGCTGTACATAGCTTCCTGAAAACATCACTGCACCCCGCCCTGATGCAAACAGTGGGCTGGCCCTTGGGAGGAGTTATGCAAATATAAAAATCTCTTGATGGGTAGATGTCAGACTGGAGGAGTGCGTGTTCCTAGGCAGGCTGTATTTGCATGCAGATCACTTTAGGTAACTCCCACATGTGATGCTGAGCTGCATTAATGCAAGAACTGAAATCCAATGAATGAAAGGGGCGGGGCCAGGGATAGTAAGGCTGGGGAGGAAAGCACTAGATGATGCTAGTCGTCATCCAGCCAGGAAATGAGGCGGGCTCTACTTGACTTGCTTGAGAAGCTCACAGTGTGCAGCGAAATCAGAGTAAGCCAATCCAGTCCAGGAGAGAAGCCGGTACAAATGGATAGGGGACATCCAGCATCATCTAACGCTTTCTCCCCTAGCCTGACTAACCCGCCCCTTTCCTTCATTGAATTTCAGTTCTTTAAATCACGAAGGCTCAGAGTCACACGTGGCTATTCCCCTCTCTGTGTCTTCTCTCTGTCTAAGTAGCTCCGGAACATTTGATCGAAGCCCCTGCTAGATATGAAGCTCCGTTAGACCCATCAGGAGGTCTTCTGTCCGTGTTCTACCTTCATCTCCTCGTCCGTGCTTCCTCCCAGGTGTTTCGTTTTGCACGTGCGTTTCCCGGAGGGTTTGTCCATCGTCCCGCCCGAGGTGGAGTGCTCTGGGCTGCCTCTTGAGGAGCCTTGTCTCGGGTTAGATGGGGAGTTCTTGGTTTTTAAGGACCCGCTCTTCCTGTCTGGTGATGACTTCTTTTTATAGGGACCTAAAAAAGACACAATAAGGAGCAGGAGATGCTGAAAAACACTTCATTCACTTGGAGGTTATATGTGCAGTACTCATGAGGACGCCCGTACCATATATCAGGGATGAGAACGTGTCCACATACAACGCTAACACAACAATTCTGTTTAACATTGGACTCAAGCATCCTCTTCAACTTGTTCCCAAACCTCCTTTACCCCAACCACAATAAGTGTCCCATGATGCATTGGGAGACTGGTGGGCTGGATCGTGGGCGGGCACCCTTCATTTTTACAGGTGAATGGTGTAGGGCGGTTCAAGGGACTCATGACCTGTCAATCAATTTGTGCAGGTAGAGTGGGACTGGGAGTCTCAGCACTCACAGGAACTCCAACAGCAGAAAGCAGTGATGTAATTTAGGGCTGCAACAACTAATCAATTAAATCATTGATTATGAGAATAGCTGGC